ACCACACACACACACACAAGCGCGCATGCACGCATGTGTACTTCACCCTCACCTGAAAGGGAGCGGAGGCTCTCGCGAAATGATTTCTTGATCTGTGCACTGCGGGCGCTCGATGCCAGTGCACGTGATCGCGTGTTCTCCACAGAGTCGTCAACTTAGTGGGAACAGAAATGAGGAGGAGGTTGGCAATGGAACAGAGATGAATCGGCTCGTGTGAGGGCACGCTATTCCGATGTAATAGCCCACACATACACATGCACACACAGATAGACATGCACACATGCACACACATGCACACACAGATAGACATGCACACATGCACACACATGCACACACAGATAGACATGCACACATGCACACACATGCACACACAGATAGACATGCACACATGCACACACATGCACACACATACACACAGAGAACAGCAGCTTACGTGGGAGCATGTAGGTTGGACCGCGAACGTTGTTTGCGTCCACATCGGCAACACGAATCGCTGGTACTCGGGAAGGCACAGACATGGCACGACGGTGCCTCGCCTCCTCGTCATCGTCATCATCGTCACCATCACCGCCATCCTCCTGGTCACCACCGCCACCACCACCGCCGTGGCCGCTGGTTTCCTGTTGGCGTTGAATGCGCTCCGTTGCCGGTGCAGACTCGGTCATGGCGACACGGTAGCTCTCCGAGCGCAGGTCCTGCGCAGAGGGTCCATAAAGAGCGGGGGGTTGAAGCGGAGAGAATTCGTGAGGGGTGAAGGTGGTTGTGAAAAAGGGAAGTAACGAAGCGATAAGGGGAAAGACACATCGGCAGGGTTGACTATCCACGCACACGCATAAGTGGTCACTTACGCACACGCACACACACACACACACACACACACACACACACACACACACACACACACACACACACACACACGCATGCAGGCACACGCATACACACACACACACACGCATGCACACGATACACATGCATGCATGCACACACCTGCAAGGACAGTCCATGTGCGCTGTGTTCATCTGCATCTGCCGTGCGGTCATCTTCATGGCGAGTCTGGTCATCCTCGGGTGGTGGTTGCTGCTGCTGCTGTTGCTCTGCCTGTGGTTGAGCGGGCGTAGGCGGTCCCGTGCGCTTTCCACGGTTGAGGTTCATCCCTGCTTGCTTCCTTCCTTCGTTCACACTCACACTTGCAACAACACGTCTCCCAACTGGGGCGGCACAAGCTCACGACAGAGTGGGGGAAATGGCTGGCGGCGAAGGTTGGCTGTTGAGGTCGGCTGCTATGAGGTCGGCTGCGGAGAGGTCGGTGCTGAGGTGGCTGGGCAGCTCGCTTGCCAATGGTGATGTGCGCGATGCAATTGGCAGGTGTGGGCTGGCCGCTCGCTTGCTTGTGGTTGGATTGCAGGCTTGCTTGTCGGCTTGCTTGTGGTTGGATTGCAGGCTGCTGCAATGTTCCAACCGAGCATGGGCACGTATCAATGGACGGTGGGGCGCTCAAATGGGGGTTGCTTCTTCGTTTGCGTGCGTGTCGTGCAGGATACAGTACTGGTCAGCGCCTCGACTACATACAAGTGAAACAAACGCCCAACAGGCGCTCTGACCGTTGCAAAAATACCCCATCCCACTCACTGCTGCTGCCATTGCCATTGCCTCATTGCTGCACCCGCTTGATTCCATTCACGAACCAACACACAAGCACACCAACCCCACTTCGCGATCAATGTGTGCGTGTGTGTTTGTGTGCGTTGTTTCCCCCAAACACATGGTTCACCCTCATCAGCAGTTGCGTCGTGCAGGTTGCCTCCTTTGCTGCAGCAATCAAAAGTACCCCTGTCTTTTCCCAGCTTTTGAGTTTCGCGGCACAAATCATAAACTGATTTCAGGCTTTGATAAAAGAATGTGGCATTTCGACAATTTGCCCATGCGCTGTTTGTTCTTGCTTGCAAGCAAACCCCGCACCACTTTCCCCTTGTTCGCTTGCCGTTTGCTTTCTTGTCTGTCTGTTGCGCCATCTCGCTTCACTCTCTGGCTTCGCTTCCTCTTCGCTTGTGCACTTCCAAACCCACATCCAATTCCAACCGCATTCTCCGTTTGTGGCTGGCTGGCTGGCGAGACGTTTGCGAGTTTGTGACAACCGCAGGCTGACGTTCTTTGCTGCCTTGCTGCCTGCCCTCAGAGTGTGCACCTCTTTGTGTGTCACATTCAATCAGCACGTTGCGCGTATGAGTGGTGTATGGTGCTGTTGACTCCTTCCGTGGCCCTGACTCAAAAAGAGGAAGCGACTTTCCAAGCAACTTGGTGCGCATCCCCTTCCCACAGACCCCCTTCTTCATTCGTCTCGTCTTTTTGTTTCTTTGTAGTGTGTGTGTGTGTGTGTGTGTGTGTGTGTGTGTGTGTGTGTGTGTGTGTGTGTGACGCACTCATTTCACTCTTCTTGACCCTCGTCCTCATCCTTCATCTTCAGACAACTTGATTCCCTTCCTGCCTGCTGAGTCTGGCTCATACCCACTTGAAAGAAGATGCACGCTTCGCGAGGCCGGTTTGCCAGCTTGTCTCCGATGCTGCTCCGAGCAGCGGCTGTTGTGGTTGTGGCAGCCCTTGCCGTGGCAGCAACGTGCACGCTGGCCACAACGACAACGGACGGCGGCACCACGGCGTCCAATGTCGACAGCGCCGGGTGCCTGTGGGAGTGGCAGTACACGCCATGCAGCGCGCCGTGCGATGGAGGCACCTTCTCGCGACACAAGGTTGTGCTGAGCCGGCCAGACTCCAACGCCACATGCGAGGTCATTGCCAACCAGACAAGCATCCCCTGCAACACATTTCCCTGCTCGGCTACTGGCGACGACCAGCAGCAGTACATGGAGGACCCGGAGCTGCGTGTGAGCGACGGCAACATCATCGTTGCCCTGCCCACCACGGCCAACGACTTGCGCATCGTGCGAGGAAGCGCCAACGAGGCCCAGCAACAACAGCAACAACAGCAACAACAGCAGGAGAGCGTTGGCCTCTTCTCCGACATTATGGCGCAGCTGTCTGCGCTACAGTCCACCCAGGACACCATTCTTTCTCGTCTCTCCTCTGTGCAAGTCGCCATGTCACAATCCTCCTCCGCCATCGAAGCCTCCCTTTCCTCTGAAGTGGACGCCCTCATCACCACGCAACTCCAGGTGTGTGTGTGTGTGGGTGTGTGTGTGTGTGTGTGTGTGGGTGTGTGTGTGGGTGTGTGTGTGGGTGTGTGTGGGTGTGTGTGGGTGTGTGTGTGTGGAGGCAAGTGCGTGTACGTGTGTGTTTGCTTTCAACCGTGTGCAACAAGACACCCTTCAGAAATGCCATTCCCTCAGACCCTCATGTACTTCTTCTCCCATCGTTTCCGTGTCTTCCCTGCCACAGGCGTCTGCCAATGCTTCCCATGCGACGGCGTCGTTGGAGATGCGCGTTGCTTCCAACACTGCAAGTATCGACGCCGCAGCCACCTCCCAACAAAGCATCAGCCGTACGTAACATGCGTGTGTGTGTGTCTGTGTCTGTCTGTCTGCCTGCATCTCTCCGTCTCTCTCTCCTCCCCCCCCCCTTGTCTCTGTATTGATGACTGTGTGCTTGAAACAAGATGAGCCTCAGAAGCGCAGGAAACGTCAGATTTGTGCGTGCGTTTGTGCTGTTGGTTGCTGTCTCCCATCATGATGTTGTTCCCTCTGCGCTCAACTCTCGCCAACGACTCACGCACTATCACCATCACCACCAACATCACCGCCAACATCAACACCACCACCTTCGCCACCACCATCGGCAACGACTGCAGAGCTGGCAAGCTCCCTGTCGCAAGGGGTGCAGATGGCCAGCGTGAGCTTGGGCAGCCGCCTCGATGACCAAGAAGCGCGCACAGCAGGCCTGCTCAACGGCTTTGAAACCATTACCACGAGCAAGCTCCCTTCCCTGCAATCGCAGATTGTGAGCACCGCCGACATGACGGACGACGTTGACGCACTGGCCACGCAGCTGTCCACGTCCATCGGTGACGTGTCCAGTGTGGTGGCGGCGCAGCCACGGTTCTCCACCTATGAATTCGGGCGCCAATGCAGCGGCTCGTACTACTTCACAGACGTGTACGGCACAACGCATGTCATCTCCGACAGCGTCACCACGGACACGGTTGTCTTTGACCAGGAGTCGCGCACCGGGTTTGCGTTTTTCCCGTCAGACCCGACCCAGCGCGACGGTGCCATGTGGTATTTGGCTGTGGAGGGCGGTGCGGGCATCTCGTGCCAGATTGTCAGCTACGAGGATGATGCGATCCGCGGCTACCACTTCCTCACCGCCACCGACAACGGCAACAGCAGCCCCCTCCCGTCTCTCTGGGGCATGAACGGCGTGGGCACGCTCATCCTTCGCGTCGAATACACGTACTGCTCCCCCGATGACCGCGCCGCCAACACCTGCTCGCACCCATCTGCCCTTCACAAATGCGAGAGCTACTCCATCCTTTGCTTCTGATCGTGTGTATGTGCGTGTGCATGTGCGTGCGTGCGCGCGTGCGTATCTACGTGTGTGCGTGTGTGTGTGTGTGCGCACGCGTGTGTATCTTCCTTGTGTGTCTGATCGTGTGCATGTGCGTGCATGTGTATCTACGTGTGTGTATCTTTCCTCTTTTCCTTGTGTACTTGTTTGTGCATGCATGACATTTCCATCTTGTGGCGTTGTTCATGCATTTTCATGTAGCTGTGTATGTATCTCCTCTTTGGGGGATGACGTAGGCATGCGCGCGTGTGACGGCATGGTTACTCTTCACCACCACCACCACCACGTGTGGGAAGCCTTGCTTTGCTTCTGTGCTTCTGTGTGCTTGTTTGTTGATGGTTGATGTTTAAGTGCTATTTCCTTGGTTTCCTGGCTTTACAGACCCCTTTTCACCCTTGCCTGCATTACTGTCGGTGTGCCTGCGTGCTTGCTTACTTCTTTAGTTCTTTAGCCCCTTGCTTTGCAGTGTTACTGCGTGCGTG